CCACAAACATGAGTTGGTGTTTTCTTCTTCTAGGAGAAATAAAGTTCCAACCTTGAGATTTTCCCCCTTTTAGTTCCATTTATGGCTTACTTGAAGTTCATTGAGGTACTCTTTACTCCAACCAGTCCAGAATTGTTGTACCATAGCTGCTATGCGTTGATATTTGTTCAGTCAATTTTCTGGTATTTCCTCTAAATTTGACTGAGACAAAGCAGACGAACTACGCCCAATTAAAAAGTGTGCAGGTGTAAGAGGGTTGAGACCAAGTAGATCATTGAAAAGTGGAGACAAGCGACGAGAATTTAAAATACTCTCGATTTCCACCAACGGAGTCGAAAAATGCTCATATAATAATGAATTTCTATTACCCTGAATTACCCGCATTAAATGATATTTTACTGTTTTAATGGCTGTCTCCCATAGTCCTCTGAAGGTCGATGACCTGGTTGGAATAAAGTGCCACATTATCCTGTCCTTAGCAAGATAGCGTGCAATATTTTCTGAATTTTCATCAAGGAAATTATAGAAACAATTTAACTCTGAGCAAGCGCCAATATTTTTTTCCATTATCCTAAAATATATTCGACGGCTTACCTCTTCGTCTCATAAATCGTTTGAGGGTGTTGAAACAAGCAGCAGTAGTTAATTTAGTCACTGCTTCTAAATGACAAGCTTTTATTGAAATACAAATTAAAAGGCACAAGTAGGCCCTTATCAGTTTATGACCTCTAGTTACATACCTATTTCGAATAAGAAATGGGCTTCCGTAATTCATTCCGACAGTCGAGAACGAATTACTTGATTGTACGCTCTCAGAAGATAGCTCACCCATTAAATATTCTACACCCATCGGTTGTATCTTGAAACACGTTAAGCAACCGTTGATTCTTTATTTGCAAGTATTTTTTACTGCAATAGGTCATTTTTTTCAGTCAAGGAGTAAATTAATTGTCGCGTGCCACAGTCGCTCATGCCCATATTTGATTATTACTTCAGTTAATTTTTTGGACAATTGTGACCAGTAATTAAGTCATCTAAATAAATTTTTTTTGTTACTCGTTTCGAAGCTTCAGAAAACCTTTGCTGCTCAAAATCGTAAGCTAACTGTATAACACATAGAATCGCCAAATATGGAACCGAAGCATATCCATATGTAACCATGTTTAATTCGTAAAGCTTTATTGTTTGGCTCGGTTGCGGTCTCCAAAATATTTTTTGATAATGACGCTGACTTTTATTTATTAAAATTTGTATATATTTCTGTAATGTCTGCACACATTACGTATTTGAATTGCCGCAAAATTGATTAAAATTAAAAATATTTGTTTTTGAAGAGCCGGTCCTGTAAACTGGACTTCGATTTCACGAAGGTCCTAGTCCCTGGTCCGTTTTTGACGATGCATCGAATACTACTCTGCATTTAGTAGTTAAGCTTTCTTTAGTTTGTTCGATTTTGGACATGTGACCTAAAGTTTTTTACTCCTTCATAAATTTCTATGTAGTCCTGTCGTAAATGATGATTTTTTTGTAATTTATTTTCTAAGACCTTAAACCAATTTCACGGGATTCTGAATTGTTCACCACTCTCGCGTTTTGTGGCAGTCTCAAAATTAATTTCACAAAATTTTTCTGCATACGAAAAATATTTTTTGTCGAAACTTTTTCAAGTTCCCAAAATTTTGCTATTTGGTTCTCAATATTTATGTTTATAGATAAACAGCTTACCGAATTACATCCTCAGTTGAACAGAATAACTCGCCTGCAGCAACGCATTTTAACTTGGACTTTTGAAGAAACGGCATATTTTCTCCTAAACTAATCTGACCCGCTTTTATTACTGCCAAATTTCTGTCAAGATTAATGCTATTTTTACCTAATCCGTTTACGACATGATTCGTTTTCTTTGTTTTTATTCCTATTTTATTTTTTCTGTACTTACTTCGCTTTCCTGGCTTCCTGGCTCTGTTTGTGCAGCTTGTGAAAACAAGCCCACCGTGACGTGCTTGGGCTGGGAATGCGAAAGAACACCAATATTGGCTGCAATTTCCTGCATGTTATTATTTCGAATTTCGAGATGCAATTATTAATTATGAGCATTTTCCACATTTTGGGGCTTCACAAGATACTCAAAAATATACGCTTTGGAAAAACAATATAAGCATAATTTTTTCTCCTTGATTTTCGCACTCCTTTGTGATGTTCTTAACATTAAAGATTTACTTAAGACACTCCTCTTGGTTTGTAACTACTATATTTCTCTGTCTCAATTATGTATATTTTTGTCTCAGATTCATCATACTGTTTATGCACTTTAAGTCATTCTAACATTGAACATTTTTGATTCAGAAATTTATTAAAGTCAGCAATAGAAGATAAATCTTTTTCATACTTGAAAAGCTCGCAATCTTTTTGGGTTTTAGGATCTAATTTTTTGGCTATTAAATACATTTATTACATCTAAAACATATGGTTCTAGACTGTACCTCGGGTGTAAAAATTTTTGCCTTTCATCTGTTACTATGTCGGAAACAATTACTGCTATAAAGGTCTCCTCCGTCCCGACCAATCTTCGTATTTTCCGGAAAATTTGTGTATACCTATTTTTGGCAACGAACTGAATATTATTTACTATGAAGGGGTACTTCTCTGCGCAGCATCAACATTTAATGCCCAAAATCAGTAACCAAGCTTTGTGCATTTGTTAAAATTGAGTAATATTTTTTCTGAAAGTCAGCTTCCCCTATCTCATGGGCGTTCACCTCATTTGGTAGAAGTTTTAAAAGCTCAAGATGCAGTTGGTCATTCTCATCAAGACAAGTCTCGATTTTTTTTTATTCTTTGTTGATTTTGCAAAATATCAACTTTGGTGATATTTTTATCCAAATTAAACAGATATTCTGCAAATAAAGTGGCTTTTCTTTATAAATGAACTCATAATAAAAATTATCTCAAAAATAATTATTAAATATGTTTTATGGTTACTTGTTTTCACATATGTTTTCCGGGTTAGTAAACACCATTACAAAAACACTGCATAGGATTTTATTAAGCAAAGTACCTATGACTATTAAAAATGCTTTTATTGCTTATTTAAAAAAGTTTTTATAGACACGACAATATTTGAGTTCAAGCAGGCAATTTTATTAACGCAAATAGCTTTATTTGTTATTTTATTTTTTGTTCATTTATTTATTTGTCGAGAACACGTTCCGACTCTGTCGGCGAAAACCCCGAAAATTTCAAAAACCACTTTAGAGGATATGACTCACGGGAATTCCTTGCGGCGGCGCGGCGGTGTCTAAGTATAACAGGCATTTCGACAAATCCTACTGGAACGGTCCAAAATTATGTTGGGTTTATTTTGCAGTTCTATCGAGCTTATGGCCTCCTCACTGACCAAATGGACTGTATATTGTTCCCACTTGTTTATTTTACTTTTCAATTACAAGAGAAACCGAGCACAAAAATAATACTTTCTTCAACTTCGACGCATGTCCCTCGTCTCGTCTGCCCCGCATAACTGACACCAATCGGTAGCGCTCGGTGAAACACAGAAATACACGTGGAACACGTGGCCTAACCACTTGGCGTTAAATCTATTTTGTAACTTAAGAAAATAGATGCCCAAGAATGCGAAAATATCTTAAACAATCTCTAAATTTACCCTGCTTCAGATGTATCTTCAAGTAATAATTAAGGGGCGTGAGACTTTTCACTTGAAAGATTGTAGAAATGACAAAAAAAATGGAAGCTTAGAAAAATTTCTACTGTGAAAATAACACTTCTATAAGTAATATATTTATAAATTTATAAAATGTATTGTTGTAGTGATCCTATTCCAGTTGGCTATTCCATTATTTTTATTGCCCTCTTGCAGCGAAACATAAAAAAAATGCATCTTACCATAAAATGCCATTCTGAAGTTCAATACGTTCGTTACAACCACCAGGTTGGATTGAAAAACATGCTATCAAGAATTCTATGATCTATCAAGTTGCTGGCGAATAATTATTCTCAAATTATAATTAAGAAACATTTATTTCTGTACAACATCTAACTTCCATTTGGCCAATTGCATTTTAATATTACCTAAAGGCTTGATGCGATCCGCTTCGTCATTATCACATAATTATCGCATATAATAAAAATATCATAAATGTAAATATCTAGCGTTAAGCAAGCCATATTTTATTTCTCATCATTACTGGGAAATACCCTTTGCGTGCTATCCACAGAAGGTATACGTAATACTATGTATTATAGTAGATATAGATTTTATATTAACAGTTAAATACCTACTGAGTTTTCATTCACAACTATTATTACGTTTTGGATGTGTATTTCAAAAACCAAATTAGCATCACCATCATATGGTGTATGTTGTAAAATAGCAAACACACATGGATACCAGCTTAATGAAGGACAAGCCCATATTAAAGTCCCTAACAGTTTGGTGTATTATGCAACAAGTATGATTAACGCCACTTTAGTCTCGAATTTGATCTGGCACAAGCGGGGCGAATTTTTAATTAACGTGTAACTGAAGAAATTTGTGAATCTGTTTGCTTCTATACTTTTTCTCCCACATTAGCTTTTGGATGCATTTGTACCAGTTTAGCGCTACCACCGCCTGGTGTCCCTTCGAAAAAATTCAAGGAGTTATTTATATATACGAATTTGATACTGTTAATTTTGGTTTTATACATTTGTGAAAGAAAAATTGCTATTAAAGAACAACGTAACCAATAGTAAATCTCTGGATTAAGAGGGATGTAGTACGTCACACACTTTTACGGTCGGTCGGCTGGCGAACGCAGCATTTTTTTTTCTAGTTTTGAAATCTTGTTTTTTTTTTTGGTATATTTCGTACAATTTATTATTGCTTAGCAACTCAAGAAGAAATATCCTCGATTGCTACCTTGATAAACTTGACCACTTGCAAGAATAATGGTTGAAAGAAGAATGATTCAACCACAGAATACTGTAATAGTAATAATGAGTCGACCAATGTCATGAAATTTTTCATTTCATTTTTTTATAGACAAATGTAAACAAATTTGTAAGGTTAGAAGAGGAAAGTATGTCAGATCTTATCTGAACAATAAAGCATGGAAAACTAGAATTAGCTTGCACAGACTTTGTTTAACATATGGAATTTTCCGAATATCAAATTACGGGCATACCTGAGACAGTCTATTACATTCCGGAATTTCTGACGCCTGCAGAAGAAGACGCAATTTTAAAGAAAGTTTATGGAGCTCCAAAACCAAAGTGGACTTGTTTGTCTAACAGAAGACTCCAACAATATGGCGGTGCGCCTCATGAGAAAGGCATGTTCCCTGAAGAAATTCCATCTTGGCTACAGTTTGTCATCAATAAAGTACATGGATTAAGTGCTTTCGATGAGAAAAAGCCAAATCATGTGCTTGTCAATGAGTATTTGCCCGGGCAAGGCATAATGCCACACACAGATGGTCCACTCTTTTATCCTATCATAAGCACAGTTAGTTGCGGATCTCATACTGTGCTAGAATTTTTAGAAAACAATGACAACAGGAACAAAATATGTGAAGTCCTAGTTGAACCCCGTAGCCTTATAGTTGTCAAGAATGATATGTATACAAAACATTTACATTGCATTAGGGAGAGAAAAACAGATAATATAAATTCCTGTGTTAATTGGAAAAACAACACTTCAAATTCCATGAATAATAAGGAATTAGCAAGAGGTGTCAGAGTTTCCCTTACAATTAGACATGTTCCAAAAGTGATAAAGGCTAAATTTATTATCTAGTATATATTATCCATACTTCTTATACATTCGCCTATTTTTTATGGAAAAAAACAAGCTTTCTGGACTCTACATACTTTTGTTTATTAATGAGTATTAATAAATCAGAGTGAAAAGGAAAAAGTGTTTCTATAAACTTAATGTACAATTTTCCAACTCTGGATCTTTTGTAATATATAATATAAAACCGTAGAAAAATTTATTGTATAATTTTTTCTAAAATTGTCTACTTGTGACAGAACAGTTTAATTTTTGGTCGGAGAAATTAACAACGCTGAATATTAAGTTGTCACCTAAATGGTGAATGCGCTGGTGAGAGTATTATAAAAGCAAACTACTCTGATTATAGTCAGTCAAAAGTTTTTGAATTTGAAGAAATAAAATAAAATGCAACAAGATGTTGATGATGATGAAGATGATGTTATTTTCGTTATTTGTAAAACGGAATATCTACAAACAAAATGCCACCAGACATTGGTGCCAAATTTTGAACATGGAATATTGGTATCCACATTTAACATTATTGAATAATTTACCTACACTACATTAGTACAGCCCATAAGCGAAAGAAGGATCAATTGATTCATGTCATAGATTTTAGATGTTTTCGTAACATATAGCACTGTTTAGTTATGATACACGTTATTCAGCGCACAATCTGGCAGCAGAGTGCGTGAAAGGGCAATGTACAGTTGCTCCAAAGGGCATGTCAAAATCATATGTCCGCGGTGTTGAAGAACGTTGCGCGAGGGTTGTCGCGAGTGTGTCCCAGTGATGGGACAGGGTGAAAGTAGGGACGAGAATGGAGACGATGATCCGGAGAAATATGACTCCAGAAGGAATTCCGGCAATTTAGTCAGTGACAATCAAGTAAGTCTTCAAGTAAAGGTTAGTTTGGAGCCATACACTGTTCGTATTATAAGGAGAGGGGGAAATTATCGATAGAGCCAAAGCCCATATCGGCGTTTACGTTTTAATATTAATATAAGGTAAATCATATTTAAAGAAAAGAACAATTTGTTTGGAGTTGTTTCTTTATGAGGATTCGCTTGATTCTGGTGTTTTCGTTTTTAATTATCCATTTTATTTGTGTATTCTTTTTCGATACGATGGTTAGAATATTCTCTTTAGTGATGCAAATATGGCACATGTATTTTGTGATAAAAAAATAAGTTAATTTACTCAAATCAATGATGTAACTATTAATTTAGTTATTGGGTATTCCCGACTGGGATGAACCTACAATCACAAAATTTACATGATCAAAAATAGTTGAACTTTAATATTCTTGAACAGTATCTATGCAAGTTTATTGCATTTTCCATCTATCATATCTTAAGGTATTTAGTATACGCACAGTTATAAAATAAAACATAATACTTGAAAATATAAAATGAAAGTTTTCTTATGCTGGGTAAGTAAACATTTTCCCACCATTACGAATAATATTGAATACCATGCTGGGTAAGTAAATATTTTCCCACCATTGTGAATAATGTTAAATACCCTTCCCAGCATATAAGACTTTTATGGCCACGACTACATGGAGGCGATCGATCCATATTTTAACCGACAGCGTGACGTCATGGTTGTCTATAAAGTGGAATTATATTTACAAAACTTGTATGTGGTTGGTTTCGCTCGGTGTGAATTAGTATCAATCTACTAGCGTACGGAGTTGGCACGTGTCTTCTCTATGTTATTCATCAACGGACAAATGGGCGTGCTGCCTAGATTGTTGAGACTCCCAAGCGAGTATTGTTGGAGTTCCATGTAGTTTCATTTGAATTTTTTGAGTGCGGGCAAGTTAATTAAACAGAAAAAAGGATCTGCCCAGCGTGCTACAAACAATGTCCAGCGGAGACCTGACTGAAATTAGACAACCCAGATCCAGGAAGATCAGTCAAATCAGTAGGGTGGGTTGAAACTGCCAATAATTAATCCATTTGCTAACTGGTCACGTGATCTTACTAACGCGCCAAGTTGTTTACAGAAATAATCCGGCCAGTAACTTTAAAATAACCTTAGTTGTAAACTTTCTACAGCTGTTCCTAACCTTACTCAATAACAAAAGTTTAAATTTTTGTTGAACAACGCTTGACTGGACTTCTCGATAATTTGTGTATAAATAATCATATGTATCATATCCGCGCATTATCTGGTTACCAAAATAAACGCGGCTATTTGAATTGCCTTTGTTTCCGTTTTGTTGAATTCGATCTTAAATTTTAATTCACCATTTCTCATTTACCTTGTCCCGAAGGTTGAAGTTCTTCTTTTAGTTGTGTGATTATTCGTATATTTTTATCGTTGCGTTTTTCAATTTACAAAAATGTGGTTAGGTATTTGCAGTTCACACTCGGATTTGCACTCTTCCAAAGCAATTTAGTAATAATTAAATGTAAATTTTATACATATATTTTTGTTTTTTATATTATTATGATAAACATCTTAATCTTCTGTGCAGATTCACATGTTCAAATATTTGAAGTAATAACCAATAAGTATTATTTGCCAATACAAAAGTCTTCAAAACATAAAATAAATAAATTTTATTTTTCCTCTTTTGCTTTTATGTAATTATTGATTTTTGTTTCCATATCCATTATTTTCCGATTTTCCTAATTTGGAAATTTTTTTTAAAAATACATTTACATTTTAAAAACCATGTATACAAATATAAAATACTTCCCAAAAAAATGACTGCGACCGCGATATTATTGCCTGGCACAGTCCTTCCTTCTATTTTCATGGTCACTCTTTTCAATCCACCGACGTGATAATAAAAGAAGTCATTTGTTTTGATTTGCAATAGGAAAATTCTAGATAAACTTTCAAGCCGTCAGTTGCTTTTTTTGTCAGTTGGTTCGAATTCTGCTTCTCTTACTAACAGGCATATTAAATTGGAAAATAACATAAGTAATATACAAAAGTAAAAAAACTCAAAAACGCAATTTTTGACATATTCAAAAATTAGTACATTTAGCGGAGATTAATTTTACTCCTTTTAAACTAATTTTAACTCTTGTTGACCTTAACCCATAAGCTCAACATATTTTGGACCTGTAAAAATTTTCATTTTTAAAGAATATTAATTAAACTTTCTTTATTCAAAAAATTTCCTGGGATTTCGAAAGATGAATGATTGAATTATACCCAAGCGTTAATTTTGTTTTTGTTTGTTTCTAAATTAATGTTTAATTTAACCAGCTAATTTTGATCGAGCCTGTAGGTAGGCACGCAGGTATGATTTTTAGAATATATGTCAAATTAATTGAAAGCAGTTCTCATGATTAGGTTTAGCGTCCAAAAGGGTTAAAAATATATTGAAATTGGACAAAACTACTTGTTTACCCCATAGAAATTCCAAACTTTTGAAAAAAATTCATCATCAATTGTATAATACAATGTATAATACAAATTATTCAATTTAAAAAACCTCTGCAGCACGTTGGAAATGATTAAAATTTAAATTATAATTTCAGATTATCCGTTTCGAGTTTAACTTGGAACATATATTATTTGCGAGACGCCATCTTACTTATTTCGATACTTTCTATACAATGTGTTTTCTGCATTTATCTTTTAATGATACAAAGATTTTCGGATTGTGTTTTTTTCAGATTTGAAAGCTGTGAAACATTGTCATTGGTTATCATGTCCTTAGTCGTTCGTGTTGCATCTGAAATATCCGATTGGTTGGTTAGTTATTTAAAGGTATAGACAGAAAATTTGGTCACAAAAATTTCCCATCTATGAACTGGTTTTGTAAAAACAACGATATTATCATGCTTTAAAAAAATCTAGCATCTTGTTGAAATTTGGTCCGTGATATTCTCTAAAAATAAGGCGATAATTTTCGTGTTGACTCGTTGCCGACTATTTTTTGTGCAACACTATAATCTTTTCACAAAATCTAACATATAGTCATAAAATTGCTCATGGACACGGCATTAGGTGCACGACATTTTCTGTAATTTCCTCGGCTTTGTCTACCCTCTTTTCTAGCGGAGTTGCATACGCTGCTTACTCCCGAAAGCGTCGAATGTTTTCTTCGGAATATTCATGAAAGATCCAACGTCTCTGGAAATCACCTTGAAACTCGTTTCCTGTCTTTTCCCAAACTCAAATCAACACTGGTTTGGCCTTTTTTCTTTCTGGCAATATGATATGATTAATTAAATTTTTGTTATAAGCGATTGTTTCCTGTTCTTCGATCAACGACGTTAGATAGAGATACAAGTCAAATGTCCAACTCTTACCCTAAAACACCGTTAAAATGAAATCAAATATCTGAATGTCCAAAATCCTGAACTGACGAATATCATCTAGTTGGAATTTGCATAAAATGTATAATAAAAATTGTCTAAATTAAATAATGTTTACTAAAACGCAGTGGTTTCTACTATCTATCTATCTATATATATTCGGATTTGCAGATGTGGACTTCTAAGTTCACAATTTTTTCTTTTGCAGTGCCATGCAATTTTGTTTTATTTTATTTTCAATTTTAAAATATTTTTGGTTGCTTCGATAGTATATGTTTAAAGTTTTAAATGCATAACCACATAGCAATGGGAATTTTTCAAAATCAAAAAAGAAAATTTCTTTCATCTGGTATCTTATTGAGGCATCAAATGTTGACAACATTGGGCTGAGGAAGAGGGGCGATTAAGATATAGTAACATATTCTGATTCAAATCCTACAAATACGCTGCTGGCAGATGAAGAATATATTTATTAATACAGAATGGTTCGCAACCTAAATAAGAAATAAACAATGCTGTTTCCCAGTTGATGTAACGTTTTTGTATATCTTTAATTTTCACCATTTAATCCCATATCTATATACAAAATCAGTAATTTGATAATAACATGATTCTTAGGGTGACAGCGTCGCCCCTCTATGCTACGCCACTGGGGATTACTGCTATACTTTTCCGTATAATCATAAAGTATATAAGTAAATATGTATTTTTGATTGCCATAGCGGGTTTTAAATTTACGACATTGCTCTTGATATAAAAAAGCAAAACCTAGATGTAAAGATATAAACAAATCCATCAAATTTATTGAGCCCCATTAGGAGAGCTTGATGACATGGAATATATAGTCTCCAAAATCCATTTCAGCATTTAATAATCTAAGTCGTGAAGCACTTTTATGCGTTAATTGGCAACAAACCTTCCTCGATATAATTTGCCGGAATCTACTCAATTCACAGAGTTGATCACACTTTGAAATTCCAGTCTATTTTTTAACGCACACACACCATTCCGTGTTTATTTAGATATATATTAATAACATAAAAATCAAGCCCAAAACTTTGAATGTTTATGATTAACTTCCCAATCTGCTGTTTTAAATGTTTCGCTGCATGTCTGGCGGAAATTATGACGATTATATAAATGTTTATGATAAATTCAAGGCCAGGCGTTTCCCAACCGTGCCGTATGTAATTACATCTTTCAAACAATAACATTTTTTAGCAATGTTTATGCGTAACGTTGGCTCTGTGTGTTACCGTCTCAGATTTTCGATTCAAAACTGAGGTGTGTTTTGGCCGAATGATTCTGACAGTTCTGGCCAATAGCAATAAAACAAAATGACCGTTTGGCTTATTCAAATTCTCTACATTGTGAATAAACTCAAGTCTGCACTATAGCTAACTTCTTTATTACTGAAGCTACAGGGTCCGTTAATTGAAGCAGTCGAAGTGTTTAAAAAATGCGGCACTTTGTATATTAAATTTGTAATAAAATAGGACAAAAAAATAAACTAAATTTATTATTCATTTTTTATTCGTTTTCGCAGTCTGAACCAAGTCTATATTATAATGATTTTTATATAAGCAAGAACAATTTTTTAAGTGCCCCATGCATCAAGCTCGAAGGAAACGGATACGAACTTTTAATGTAAGCTTTAATAATAATGTGAAAAATAAGTAATGCCTCCGTTTGGCTTATTTTCTATTTTATTTGACAAAACTGAAATAGGATCATAAATCTTTCAAAAAGAATTTAATTAATTTAATTGTTGGCGATTACACATTAATTCCTGGCTGCGAAATTAGTTAGAAATTAATTTAAAAGCTGTTGTCGAAACATTTGAGGTTAAAAATAATCATTGATTTGTATTAGTCATCAACTTAAACCTTTTGAAACGAATTATCCATAGGGGGGTTTCTATAAAAACAAAATTTGCTGATAATTTATCAGACAAATTGATAACGTGTTGCTATGTTGAGCGCCGTGTATTCGTTATGTAATCTGTCTAATTATTTATCTTCTCTATTAGGCATCTCAATGCCACCAATTTTTATCCATATAATTTTCTATACAATTTTATGGAAAACTATACTAAGCACAAAAAAAACCATTTTGAATTTCGATATTGGTGCTCCCGCTTTTTAAATACGAAAGAAGTTATGTAAGATTCTGCAACCAAACAAAATTTTATCTATAGTAATACTCCTCTTATCGGTTGAAACATTTATTGCGGCAATTATTAAAATTGGCTACGTGTAAGTATGTACTTAAAAATTTCATTACAAAAAAAATTCAGTGTAATGCGAACTGCAAAATAGTAATAACCCAGACGAGACAATTTTTGTGCCCATGTAAGCAGGCACGAGAGGATGCGGTTATTATACTCGGCATTAATGCACTTCAGATACCTATTTATCAATTTCGATAAGATTGATAACAATTTACTTTAATATATCGAGTCTTGCTCCTCTAATGCCGCGTATCACCCGTAGTGAAAACATGGAAACGTGGTTAATCCCGATTTAAACGATCTGACTGGTTATTTGTTGGCTCAATTAATTTCAATTTTGTTCATTGAATTAGCCCAGATTCCGATCATAATGACTGCATCTGACAGGACAATAAAGGCAAGTTATTCTTTTATATTT